TTAACCAAATACGTGAGTCAATTCCATCAAAAGTGTTCATATTAAGCACCAAGTAGAGACTTTAAAAAATCAATTCATGGCCAGGCATAGGGCCTCACGCCTGTAATCCCAGCACTTTGGGAGGCCGAGGCAGGCGGATCACGAGGTCAGGAGATCGAGACCAGCCTGGCCAACATGGTGAAACCCTGTCTCTACTAAAAACATAAAAATTAGTCAGGCATGGTGGCGGGTGCCTATAATTCCAGCTACTCGGGATGTTGAGGCAGGAGAATCACTTGAAAGCAGAAGGCAGAGGTGGCAGTGAGCCAAGATAGCACCACTGCACTCCAGCCTGGGAGAAAGGGTGAAACTCCATCTCAAAAAAAAAAAAAAAAAAAAAAAAAATTCAATTCATGTTTTTTTAATAATAAGGCAACAATGAAACGGCAACATGGCTATAATGAAATAGTGGCAGGCATTGCAATATTGAGTTTTAAGCAAAAACTCTTATTTCTCCAGTTTTCCTTAGGAAAATAGATAGGACTATTTGTGCAGTGATTAAAAATGCAGAAATTAACATAAAATATTGCCACAATACCTCCCAAAGCTCACTACTTAAAAACAGTTTATCACAGCACCAATGCCAATATACACCAGGCCACCTGTGTCCCTGACACATCGAAAGCTATGGCCTCTGAATGATGTCTTGATCATTATGTCATTAACATCATACCTCACCTGAAAAGTCAGATGTGTTTTCCAAATTGGAGCACTTCTACCCAAGCTTTGGATATAAACTAGGAGGAATTTAGATTATGTCACATTTTGGGCATACGCAGGCAATGAAAAACGGAGAAGGGAAAAGAAGGCAAAATAAATGGGCTTATAGCAAAATAATGATCAAGAGATTGAAAAGAAAAAAAGAAAAAAGGAAATAAATGTACCAGAAAAGGTTGTGAAAAACTGTAGGAACCTGTTAGTGGGACATAATGAGGCTCCTTAAAGGATATTTTTACATTTTCCAAATAATTTTCCGTTATCAGAAATGACCGAGTCCCTGTCCTGTATATCAGCGCAGGTTCTTCTATCTTGTATGTGAACAACCGAAGTCCATAGCATCTTTTTCAGTCCTTTCGATCATCTGGACCTACCCTGTGGGATCCCTTCTTTGTTCTTTGAAAGGTATTTCTTTATAAACAGCTACTGAGCTGCTTTCTTCGGGAACAAGAATGTACTATTCACATAGTATTCAAAGGGTCGACTGGGTCCGTCCTTGCCACCTTCCCCTTTGGTGCAGATGGTACACTTGCCCTGAACATTTTTTCTACTCAGATGACCATTAGTGCTATCACCTGCTCCCACCTGTGACTACTACCCTGCAAATGAGCAAGAAACAGCACCAGCTCAGGGGAAAAGTTGCTTTTACTTGTTCTCAGTGACAGGGTAGCAGCTTCGTGGAGAAAGGAGCATCTGATTAGGCTCCTAATTAACATGAAAACCATCCTGCAAGAAAAAGCCACAGCAGCAAGCTGCTTGCCAGTTCTAGGCCAGGAATCCCAATTGCAATTTTGGTTGTTATGGAAACAGACCACACTGCTTCTTAAAGAATTCATTATTCCAACAAATATTTGTTGTTCTAGTCATTAAGTAGTACCGAATGAATGATGTAGACACAGGGGAGGAGGAGCGCAGAGGAGGAAGGCTGGTGATTACAGCTGAGTTCTCAGGGAGCTAGAACTTAACTCTGACCTTGGGGCATGATTAATAGGGGAGAAGACATTTCAAGTGAAAGCGCTGGCAAAGTGCGACAAGCTCAAGCGATAATAAGGATGCAGGCGTGGCTGGAGCCAAAGATTGACATGGGAGTGTGATGGGAAATGGGAAAGACCAGAAGGCCAGTCTAAGAAGTCTGGACCTTTCTGTGGACAAAAAGGAGCTAATGGGTATGTTAAAACGGGGGAAGAATGCTTTAGGTGTATTAATTTTGTCTTAAGACAAATAGTGAGGATGTCAACCTAGACTCTGGGTAATACCGCAGCCCCAGTGTTTTTTGGGTATATGCCAAGACAATAATTTGAAAAGTGACAATTCAGCCATCTTCTCAAATAGACAAAACCACACTGTTTCACTGAAAGAAACCGACTTTTGATTATTAAAACTCACCAAAACAGCTATGGGTGTGTCTATGACATCTGGAATATTTTTATAAGGTTTAAATTGACTTATAATAAAGCAGTCCCAAAATACCATTCTGCCACCTGGCAAGGAAGTATTTAGAACTAAGGCCTTAATTCTCAGAGTCCAGTATGTACACTAGAAAAAGAGCAGTCATTTTCCCTTGTATCACAGTGGCTTTGTACCTTCTATGGCCCAAACAGTAAGCTGAAATCTCTTTTACTGATCCATAAATTGAAATACAGGAGAGTTTGGTTAGATAGAAGAAAAATCTTTTGCTTAGTGCAGCAATTCTTAGAGGGTGATCTATGGACCCTTGGAGGTCTCGAGCTTTGTCTAATTCCAAAGATCTTCTACTGTGCTGTTTGACCTTCTGAAGGGCACAGGACTTAGTAACAGGTGAGGTCTTTAGTTATGCCTAGAGAGAGGAAGTGGCATTTGACAATACATTTCACAGTTCAACTGTGAGTGTTAAACAATGGATAAGTCTGAGGTAATATTACTGCCAAGACAGTAACAACAACCACAAAACATACTGTATTATTTTTGGAAGCTTCTTTGGACCACATTTTTAAAAACACAGATTTCTATGTGATAATAAAGGGCTCTGTGATGGTTAATAACGAGTGTGAACTTGATTGGATTGAGGGATACAAAGTATTGATCCTGGGTGTGTCTGTATGGGTGTTGCCAAAAGAGATTAACATTTGAGTCAGTGGGCTGGGGAAGGCAGGTCCACTCTTAATCTGGTGAGCACAATCCAATCAGCTGCCAGCAAATACAAAGCAGGCAGAAAAAAGTGAGAAGGAGAGACCGGCCTACCCTCTCAGCCTATATGCTTCCCCCGTGCTGGATGCTTCCTGCCCTCCAACTCCAAGTTCTTCAGTTTTGCGACTTGGACTGGCTCTCCTTGCTCCTCAGCTTGCAGACAGCCTATTGTGGGACCTTGTGATCACGTAAGTTAATACTTAATAAATTTCTATATGTATAGATGTATTCTATTAGTTCCGTCCCTCTAGAGAACTCTGACTAATACAGGCTCCTACTCTGAATTCCTAGCTGTCAAGTTTAAAGGGTCTCCCCTTTTCCTAATGTGGCTCCTAATATAAAAATTGAATAGAAAATATAAGACTCTGTGTATGGTCTGGATGCCAAGAAAATTGATTATTAAAATTTATGTGGAAAAGGGAATTTTAGTCTGATTTTCCTTTGAAATTATGACATTGGGCTACTCTTCAATAAGAGATACAAGCAACAAAGTTTTACTTTCTGAAAAACACGTAAACTAAGTGTGGGAAGAGTCCATCCAGTTCCCAAGGTTAAGGTCAACTAGAGGTAAGCAGATGACAAATGGACCTAAGGTAGGTCTCAAGAATTCCCACTGCTTGACACACACTGTTCTCTTTGCCTCCTCTCACCTCCCATTCATCCCTTCACTGGGCCCATCTCTCCTTTTATCTCTCTGCTTAAATGTTACGTTCTTAGGGAAGCCTTCCCCAGTCACCCTCTCTAAAGTAATCACCTAATTTTACTCCGAACACTTGACCCAGGCTGTTCCCTATTTCAGCTCTTTGGTTCCTTCCTAATACTTTTCAAGGTTAATGATATATCCATTATTCTCTTCATCTAAGATGGCAGCTCGGTGAATCCTCACTACCTGGCGGGGTTCAATATTTAATAAGCATGTGTCAGATGGCTGGTGAGACAGTTTGCATTCAGGTTAACAACCAACACAACTGAGTTGTGTGCGGAGGAGGGAGAAGCCTGGAGTCAGAAATCCCAGTCCCCTCCCTGCTACCAGTTAATTGAATGACTATGATCAGACCCCTTAACTTCCCTGGGCTTCAGTTTCCTCATCTAATAATGAGGGAACTTTACTCACAGATTTCCAAGGAGGCATTCTGATTTTAACTTGCAAGAGTCTAAGTTTATCTGATTATATTTCTGTAGTGTTGACAACCATTCTTTTCCCACTCATTGAGGAGGTGTGGACCTTTTCATTATTTCTGAATATAAATAGACATTTTCTGGAAAATGTACAGGTAGGTGTGCTAATTTTTTGAGGCACTTGAATGATTAGAGGAAAAAGTACTAAGTTTTGAAAGGATAATATTTGTCCTTTTTTGTGCATTTTTAACTACTGCACAACCAGTTCCCTTTATTTCCACGAGGAAAACTGGAAATCTGGCTCTCACACACCATTAGCTTCATAACCTTGGACAAGTTCCTTAACCTTCCTGAGTCTCTCAGTTTTCTTGTCTATGTAATAGATAGGTAATAGGAATAGACTAGGTAATGGGATTGTATAAGGATTAATTGAGATAACCTGGGGCATAGTGGGTGCTCAGAAAATGTTGGTAAACCTCAAACACATTTTCTCCCACAACTCATCCATCAATAAGTTTCACTGTACTAGAGCAAAGAGCAAATCAGATAGTTTTTTTCTGTTTGCTGTGTAGAATACAGGGTCTGGCTATTGAGGTATATTTGAACATGTGGCAACTGATGCATTCAGTTTAGGAAGGAGAGGGTCAGTGTTCAAACAGAAAACACGTGTGTTAGATTTTAAGACATGACAACCTCTTACCCTTTTAATGCACTTCGTTACTGTAGAGCTAAACTCAGAAGTTTGACATTGTTTCAAGTCCTACTTTTCCCATGCTGAAAAGATACAAATCCCAAAGCAATATAAAACTGCGTACATGAAAGAAAGAACTTGGAAAACTTGGGGTACTATTTTGACCAAAAAGACTTCAAAATAGGGTGAAACATAAATAGTCTTTTTCACTACCAAATTCTTATGATTAGCAATTGTATTGTTAGAAAATGCAAGGGTTGCTACTCACCAATCATGAAAATAATTTTACACTTTCTCAAATCTTCCATGAAACCTTCAAAATAAAAATAACTTAAGTTATTGGCAAGAAAAACTGTACTGAAGCCCTGGTTTTACTCATGTTATGTAAAAACCCAAACCTTGTAGTTTTATTTGATAACAAAAGCTTGAAGTTGAATAAATGTGTGAACAGGCTACAATTAGTAAGCACCAATGACCATTTCAGTCTCTTTGTTTGTTTGTGAGATGGTCTCACTCTGTTGCCCAAGCTGGAGTGCAGTGTCTCTATTTTGACTCACTGCAACCTCCACCTCCCAGGTTCAAGCCATTCTCCTGTCTCAGGCTCCCGAATAGCTGGGATTACAGGCATGCCACCGCACCTGGCTACTTTTTGTATTTTTAGTAGAGAGGGGGTTTCACCATGTTGGCCAGGCTGGTCTTGAACTCCTGGCCTCAAGTGATCCCCCTGCCTTGGCCTCCCAAAGTGCTGGGATTACAGGCGTGAGCCACCGCGCCCTGGCCATTTCAGTCTTATTTCCCTATCCTGGTAAGGTATTTTTATTTTAACATGCATGATCAACTTTTGGTGGCAAAAATGTATGTCATTAAATAGCATGAATCACAAAGAAAGCTATTTTTAAAAATTACTTTTAAATCATCCTAAGTATCTCAGTTTGGTGTTATTTCATGTTTAAAACATTTGCTAAGCTTCCTTTTAATACAGATGGTTAAAACACAAGTAGAGTATCTGGAAAATAATATTTTTAAACATAGTTTCTGCTTAGAGCAAATAATGTTATTTTCCATTTAAGGTAGTGATATAAAATTTCCTTTTAAAACAAATCTATCTGAGTAACAACAGTTCATATTTTCTGTAGATAACTACTTTTGAAAATTAGATCACTATTCTGACAGGAAACATTTTTTAGTGAAATTGGGGTAGTTCATTTATATGCACAATACCACATTTTGTAGGAATTCACAATTAGCTGAGTGAAGCCCCAGCTCCACCCGAGAAAGAGAGAGCATGGGGCAAGATGAATTGGGTTGGGAACAAAGAGCTGAGAAAGAGCTGGAAACAGAGGATAGAAGTAAGTTTGGGATCGTTGAAACCATATGGTTTTCACAACAAAAAACAAACAAACAAAAAGAATTTTTAAATCAAATCCAGTCTCCTTACAGAATAACCCATGGTGACAGGAAACACTTTAAATTGTTTGGAGTTTTCTATTAAAGGCAGATACATTGGTGTTCCTAACATGTGGGACCAGATGGTCAGCTCAGGTTCTCCAGCCTGTGAGTTTATGTTTACGAAGCTGAGGAACTCTGAGTCTATTTGCAATCCGGGAAAATGACCCTGGTTATTACTGTGATTTTTTTGGGTATGATTGTATCCTATTTCAGTTTTCAAAAATAGTTATTTTAAAATTAATGATGGTACATGACATTCATCTAATGTAGTCATTACAAATTAAGTATATAGTTTTTTAATGACATGGGAACATGTTTATGTTGTGATATATACAAAACATTTGGAGATACTTGTATATACATATGCATTCTCAACTATATAAAAATAGATATATAGGCAATGCATTGGAATGAAATGTACCAAAACGTTAACCATGATCATTTATAAGTCATAAGATTTTAAATGGCTCTTATTTTATACCTGAAAAAATTTCTACAGTATGTGTTAATTTTATAACTAGAATAAAAGGGAAAATTTATTAGGCCATCAGTCATCCCCTACCCAGTTGAGACCAAGTTGATTATTTGCACTTAGCTAAGTGACAGCTAAGTTATGGCTCATATATTTGTACCTCTCCTCATGAATCACCATGATGTCATTTGGTGACTGTGATTTTCACATACTGCTCCTGCCATTATCATCAAATGACACTTTACCTACCACCTTGTGCTAATGGATCTATGCAGGATTAGAGCGGGGGTTATTTAAAAAGCCAACTCACTTACTTATATGTGTTTAGAGTCAATACTATAAACATATTTCCATGACTTATAGTATAACTTTTATTACAGTGTAGAAATGTTAGAAGGTATTTTTACTTAGGACAATTACGAACCTTTTCTTTTTTGGATAGTCCTAAATTCACATAATCGTATCTATTTTCAGTTACATGCACAGCTAGTTATGGATGGAATTTTTACTTTTTCCAAGACTTTTTTTTTGTTTGTTTTTTGAGATGTAGTCTCACTCTGTCACCCAGGCTGGAGCACAATGATGCAACCTTGGCTCACTGAAACCTCATCGTCTTGGGTTCAAGCAATTCTCCTGCCTCAGCCTCCTGAATAGCTGGGATTACAGGTGTGCACCACCATGCCTTTCTAAATTGTTTTGTATTTTTAGTAGACACAGCGTTTCACCATATTGGCCAGGCTGGTCTTGAATTCCTGACCTCAAGTGATCCACCTGCCTTGGCCTTCCAAAGTGCTGGGATTACAGGCGTGAGCCACTGCACCCAGCCATTTGCAAAACTTTTAATATGACAAAAATTACAAAGCAGCATAATCCTGGTGTAGGATAGGTTGGGTCCCAAAGGTACATGCAGAATAGTAACTACCATGCAGGAAAAAGACTTTTGTGTCTCAATTATGTTTAAAGAATGTTGAATTAAAGTTTGACAACTGTTTTTACTGCAGGACTTGTGGGAGAGCTTTGGATGCTATTATATACTTGAATCTTCCAGTGGGGACCTGGTGTTAAGCATGTTTCAAAGATATTTCAGTAGAGCATCCTCTTTTCGCTGAGCCTCTCCGGAGTCCTGTTCTCTGGGCAGTTAGGAAATGCATCTCTTAGTAATGCACCCCCCTTTGGTTCTTTACATGGATGGAGGCAGGAGAGACCCAAAGAGTTCTACTCTTAATCACGCTCCCTGGCTAAGGGAAAAGTGATGCTGTTAATATTTTCTCTCTTAAGTTGATGTTTAATTAAAAAGGCATGGTCAAAGTTACTGTAATGACAACTTTGATCTGATCAGTAAGGAAAACTCACCTCCCATGGTGTCCTCTCCAAATACATTTAACTGGTCATCACCCTGTTAAAAAAAATCACAATATTAGACAATAATAACAGCAGGTATTGTGCTGAACTCCTTGGCAACACTGGCATACTTGAACTTCCAAACAACTGTAAGAGGGAGGCACTTCCAAACAATTTTATGAGGGACAACATTTTACAGATGAAGACACTGAGAATTCTAAAAGTTAACTTGCCGAAGGTGACAGGGTAGTGAGGGACAGAGCTCAAAATTAAACCTGGTCATCTGTCCTGAGTGCATGCTCTCTTCTTAACCAGTACAGTATCTCGCTTTTTTTTTTTTTTTTTTTTTTTTTTTTTTTTAAAGTGCAAAAGCTATCTGTGGACAGGAAGGCTGACTTCAAGAAGACAAAATCCTTTGATATCAGAAGCTTACTAGTAGGTGTGATCACAGCTGTTTTATGAGTAACTCCAAATTTTAAAGCTGGGGTTGGCAATCATTTTCTGTAAAGGGCCAGATAGTAACTATTTTCATCATCGTGAGCCATCGTGTCTCCTGTTCTCCTGTAGGAACTACCTTTTTTTGTGTGTGTGTGTGTGAGACATAGTCTTGCCCTGTTGCCCAGGCTGGAGTACAGTGGTGCAATCTCGGCTCACTGCAACCTCCACTTCCTGGGTTCAAACAATTTGGGCCTCAGCCTCCCCAGTAGCTGGGAGTACAGGCATGTGCCACCGTGCTGGACTAATTTTTGTATTTTTAGTAGAGACAGGGTTTCACCATGTTGGCCAGGCTGGTCTCAAACTCCTGACCTCAAGTGATCTGCCTACCTCGGCCTTTCAAAGTGCTGGGATTACAGACGTGAGCCACCGTGCCCGTGCCCTACAGGGCAACTATTCAGTCATAACTTGCCAATCCCCGAACCAAAGCATGAAATAAAGAAGTTGGGGTGATCAGTTTTTATTGATGCCTACCTTTAAATTTTTCATTTTATTTTTTAATCAAACAGATGCTCTCTTCCTTATGGAGTAGCCCATGGTGTTTGGAAAAAAATTCAGAAGAAAATTTTATAAAAAGGCACTAGGTGAGAACTCTCACTCTCACCTATGTCTTCATCTGTATCATTTCTCCACTCTGTCACCCCTTATAGGTAACCACTTATACAGATTGTTCTTGCGGTACACAAAAATGACTTCTAGATATCCAGGGATACATGTGAACATAAATAGATACTATGATCTCCGTTTCTTATACAAAAGCATTATGCTTTTTTTTATACATACATATGTGTTTATAATACTATTCTATAATACATTGCTCCTCCATTTGCTTTTTCTGTGATCAGTGTATCCTGGAGAAATTTCCATGTAAGTACAGAATGGTCTCAGTACCAAATAACATCAGTTGCACAGTATTCTATTGTATGTATGGTACCATAATTGCTGTTAATTAGTTCTTTATTGATGGATCAGTTTCCAGTCTCGGACTTTTTTTTTGGAAACAGTGGCACAGTGAGTAAATTTGCATAAATATCATTTCATACTGTAGGCTAAATTTTGAGAGAGGGGACCACATGGTCAAAGAATAAATGTATTTATAATTTTGATAGAATTTTGCCAAACTGCTCCCCATAGAGGTTGTACCATTTTGAAGGGACAGCCTCTGGCTTGTGCTTTACACCAGCCTCTTGCCTCTAATTCACTTTGATGCCTGAGTCAGTTAAATGAGGTTGTCTGGTTGTATTAACCCTCTCTTGAGGTAAATTGCCCTCAAAACACTTGATTTAAAGACAGATTCTTGCCATCCTGTTTAGAATATATGCCTGCAGGGAAATTTTACTGCCCATCTCTCAGAGTTGCCTGTGCATTCAGTGCCATTCCAGGTAAGAGAAGAGCTTTTAACGGAGTGGTCATTCAGGGACATATTTACATTAATGAATTCTCTTCTGCGAATAGAAAAAACATCAGTTATTCCTCAACAAGCCTCTCCACCACTTCCCTTGTTGAAATTATCGCAATTCAGAGCTTGGAGTTTAGGGATCCCCTAATCCAACCCTGCCATCCACTCTTCCATTTTATGGATGAGGAAACTGATGTTCAGAGAGGTCATGCGAGGGGCCCATGACCATGCCATCATGTCCTTAGTGAGGTCAGGATGGGATGAGAACCACTTCTTTTACCACTTTGCATGGCTCCTGTGGATTTGGTCTCATCAGTGTAGGGGCATCCCGTCCCCTCTGCTTACCTGGCCAGGCACCCATCCACCAAACTGCTGCTAAGGGCCCACTGCAGTCTGGCTCCCTGCCTCAAGATGGGATGAATCCGTGGTACAAGCTGGACCCCAGAGCTCACTGTGGTCTTAGGCTGAATGAAGTTAGGATGGGGCCAGGACCACATCCTTGCTTAGCTCTTACCCCTACCCTATCCGGCTTCTCCTCAGAGGGTTCCCTAATAATGCACTTGCATGAGAATTCTCGTCTCAGGCTCTGCTTCTAGGGGAAAAATATCAATTACTCCTCAAGACAGGGACCTTGAGGAGTTCCCAAATTCTCAGGGAATTTTGGATTTAAGAAAGGGACCTATTTGAAGCAATGAATAAGTTTGCCTAAGGTGCAGCTGCATAGAAGAGGCTCAAGAGTATTTCCTGGAAAAGGGCTGCTTAATCTAAATCTGCTTATTGTTTGTCAAACAGCTATTCAATATATCTAGGTAATGTGGAGAGGAAACCATGGAGTCCTCTCCCTCAATTTTTAGTATTATTGTTAGATGATCAGACTTACACCCACCTTATAGCCTAGGCTGTATTAGATCTTTCTTGTATATGGCTATCATGTCTGGGGAGTCTGATCATGGTTAATCTGAATTCCCAGAACAGTGCATCCTACTATAAAAGGGGCCATCTGACCTCTGCCGGGCTTCTTGAGTCTGACCTATTTGTATCCATAGCTCTTATTCACAGCCTTCTATTACACTTGCTCAAATGCTTCACATGAGTCCCAGCTGTATTTTCATTAATTCATCAATAGTGAACAGGTTGCTGGGACATAGATGCGCCTGTCATCAACTCTCACCAGGAATGCGGTGCACTGACATGAAAGCCCAGGTGAATGAGATGTTTGATTGGAGGGTGTAATTTTCCAGGGACTCTCAATAAACCTCATGGTTCCAATGTGAATATTTTGTAAACAAAATTAATCTGGCATCTTATACACACACACACACACACACACACACTCGGGGTGAATGGAAAACACTTCTGGTTTTGGTGAAAAAGATACCAAACAGCCTCTGTGAGCACTAAATCTTGTGACTTTTCAAATGTTGGGTGTGTTCTGCATGAAAGGCATTAATTTCAGAATGCCACTTGGACAAGGAGGCAAAGGCTGTAGCCTTATTCAGGAGACGACTGATAAGGTGTTTATGCCCAGTCACCTTGGAGCTTCCTCTTCAATGAGGCATCACTTGAGAAGACTCAACCCATTAGCCACCACTCTGAGTGTCTGTGGGTGACTCTTTGTGTTCCGGCCTTTTTCTGTGTTGAGGCTCCATCTAGTCCGCCCTTTGTCACCTTAAGTCTCAATTATGGAGTTAGGCTTTGTGTGCACAATGGGACATAGTTGACTTTCCATAGTATTAAACTAGGTTTTGAGGTTCATGAAGTGGGATACTAAATCTTCTGAACTGACAGAAAGAGAGAGTATAAATATAGTCACAGATTTGATGTGAATGCCTTTTATGACTCACAAGTATGGGGCCAAGGCACAGCCTGCAACGCTGTGATGAATACGGTTAAGGTGGGAGAAGCTGCAGCAAGCCCATTAACACCAAAAGACAGTTTTAGTCCAGGCGCGGTGGCTCACGCCTGTAATCCCAGCAAAACTCTGCCTCAAAAAAAAAAAAAAAAAAAAAAAGACAATTTCAGGTTGCTACATCATTTTGATGCTATAGATTGGGTAATATGTTGCTAATTGATGAGGAGAAATCTAGAATTCTATTGAAGGACACATTTACAACCTCAAAGTGGGATTAGTGGCTATGGGAAACTGCAGATTTGGATTACAGACTTGCTTTGGTCTCTATCCCTCATCTTCCAGTCAATCAAGACCCATTAGGAGGGCAAAAGGATCCCACATTCAAACTTATTTCCCTTTTAAGTTTTTTACAAACTTTTTTAGTGTATGCAAAAAAACTACTTTTGCAAGGCTGGGTTCTGGTACTATCGTTTGTATGAAGAGTGGCTAATTGGGGTATGTCTGTGCTTTCCTTTAGGATCAGGGTACCTATCATCACCACCTTAAGATATGCGTGCATGTCTAGTCATTCCCATTTCCTTGAATTATTGAATTTTAAATGAGGTAGATCAAAATAGAACAACTTAGTTTCACAGATGGGTTCACCAATTTTAAGAAACTATCTTCTTCAACTGGCTTTGATTACAGCATAGTGACTGTCCCTGGAGACAGAACCAATTTCTGTGGCATTGTCACAGTAGATTGTATTAATCTGTTTTCACACAGCTGATAAAGACATACCTGAGATTGGGCAACTTACAAAGGAAAGAGGTTTAATGGAGAACTCATGGTCCCACATGGCTGGGGAACCCTCACAATTATGGCGGAAGGGAAGGAGAAGCAAGTCACATCTTAAATGGATGGCAGCAGGGAAGGAGAGCTTGTGCAAAGAAACTCCCATTTTTAAAAACCATCAGATCTCCTGAGATCTGTTCACTATCATGAGAACAGCACAGGAAAGACCCACCTCCATGATTCAGTCATCTCCCACCTGGTCCCTCCCATAACATGTGGGAATTATGGGACAAGATGAGATTTGGGTGGGGACACAGAGTCAGACCATATCACAGATCACCTCATCATAAGAAGCTGACATTGAAATAATGCTTTTTGGCTTGAAAGCCTGTTTGCAGATACCATCTCACCGGATCCCCCCTGCAACCTCATGGATGAGGAACCTGTAGTTGAGATTCTGAGGGACCACAGGATGGGGATGTGCCTGAGCTTCCCACGGCACAAGAGGTGGGCTGAACTTTGAAGTCAGCTCTCT